AATTGCAAAGCACTCTGTTACTGTGGAAACAGGCCTGGATCTGTCATAAAAGACCAATGTGAAATGCCATATGTAAAACCAAATTTCCTTTTTCCTTGTTGCAGCTGGAAGGGTATGCATTCTGAATTAAAAGGATTGCGAAATTTATATTTCTGATATAGGAATGCAAAGAGAAGTATGGCAGTTCCATAGGAACAGTCCTTATTATTCACTTTTACTTTGGCATTTTGCAGGTGGTAAAAGGGGGCAGAAATTATATATTGTAGTTCAAACACACTATATTTAAATCAAAACTAGCCCTTTACAAAGAAGCTTGTATTATCCGCTGTAGCTATCTGGAAATTGGTTTGAAATCCATGTAATTAATGATCCTGACAGTCTGCATAAGGATCACATTCCTTTTAGCACCAGGCATTTCCAGCAACTTTTGCACAGCAGTGAATAGAAGCGTAATAGTACCATGAGGTGCATTCAATAAACGGTACACGGTGTGGCAGACTTTACTAGGTGTTGCTTAGTCCATGAGCAGCTGGAACATCCGTGAGCTTAAGCAATAACAACTGTGCCTTTCTAAGGACTAAAAGATTTGTCTCTCAGAGAAATAAAACTATCCAAAAAGATTATCATCCTGAGCATTCCATATAGCCAGTAAAATTTGGTAAGGCATTCTTGGCTTTGGATCTACATTTTACATACTTCAGTAATACAAATATATAAGTGTACTATGTGCATTATATGCTGTGACAAAGAAATGTTGTCGTGTCATAAAGAATCCCCACTCCAGGTCTCTGATTGGTGTCCTTAGAGTGGGAATGGGCAAAACACTCCCTGCAGGCTCCATGTGGCCCCACAGCCTGTTGGGCAGCCTCATTAACAGACCAAATTGACCAGTGACCAGCATTTGTTGTGTTTTAAAAGAGGGTTGGGAGCATGTGAGCCTTTTTGCCGAGTAAAAGTCTGCCAGCACACCAGAGCATCGAATTTCACTGGTAGAACTGGTGGTGCACAGATGACCACTCAAAGAACAACAGTCACAGGTGTGCAACCTGACTTTTCATACTAGAAACAAAAATGGACAGGAGGAGGAGATGAAATGCGTTGTACCTATTGCTCATACTGATGAATGTGTGGAATCTGTCCCTTTCTTCCTTCTGTTGTCTCCTTTCTCCCCACACATCTTTTTGATATCTATGGAAAGTTCCTAGAGTGTCCCCGATTTCTCTGTTTCTCCTGACAGCACATGTGCTTGTGAGATTGTTGCCCTTGTCCCGCTCTCCCTGGAGAAATGAGGATTTTCCTGCTCCTTTGGTTTCACTGCTGTGCCAGCAGCTGATGCATTTTGCCAGGCCCCCACTGCAGCCATGGTGAAAGGCTGCCCCTTGATACTGAGTGGCGCAAATGTCACAAAATGATTTGTTACCACCAGAATCTGTAATGGAGATGTCCCCCAACATTTAAAATTTGCATTTGTCTAGCTCATGTTGCACCCTTTCTGATTTCAGGTTGTGTGAACTGTTGCTTATGTAATCAAACCAGGTCTGCACAAAAGAAAGCCATCGACTTTGCTTGCAGAAATACTCATTTAAAAAATAAATGGCTGTGGGGAAAACCTCCAGAACAAACCAGTGAGGTTGTAATGTGATACTTGGTTCAGGAGGCAGTAGGGTGGACCACCAGGTAGAAGGAGAAATGGAATGAAAGAGGGTGTGACTGATCGACTGCACCTACAAACAGGAGGTCTCCATGCAGCAACCTTTTGTTGCAAGACCCCCTTGTTTGGGACTATTTTTACAGAACTGAACTAAAAATGTGATATTTAGTATGCATAGTCAGTGTTCAGCAATTGCCTTATGGAAACCTGCACAAAATGAAGTTCTTTTATATGAAGTACTTATTTCTACGGATATTTCATTGACAGCCATGAAAAGACGTGATCAGATCACCTAACAAGCCTGTGCTTTCTTTGTCATTCGGTTCAGTTGTTCTGTGCAAGCATTGCCCATGGTTACTGTTCCCCGTCCAGATCTGAGAATCCTCTCTTCCTCCCAAGTGTGTTTGCTTGGGGAAGCTGGTGGCAGTTGAATTTCCCAGAGGATCTCTGCCATGGCTAAAACTGTGAACTAGTATGTTCAATCCGGTGGTGTGCCATTCGCCCAGCGGAGGGGAAACACTGACATTCCCCTTCCCCACCACAGCCTCCCCCCCCCCATATGCCCTTAAATTTGCTCTGCAGGGTTAGCATCCTCCAAAGCAAATTCATGGCACACAGATAGTGGGAAGGGCTGGAGGGAGAATAGGATAGAAATACCCACTGTGTAATGCTTTCACCTTAGAAAGGGTTGGATCCAGGATAAAATGAAGGTGTGTGAACCCGGCACCCTATGCATGCATATTCCCTTGAAAAAAGAGGGAAGACTTGGGGAATGCTTGTAAATGTTGAACTGATTCAAAAAGGGGATGTAAGGAATTTGCTCATCAGTAATCTGTGCTGCTTTTGCTTACCTCAAGTATAGATCATCATCACCCAGAACTATTTAATTGTTTACTTTTAAAGTGAATTTTGGATGTTTCCCATGTTGGCTCTGCTTCCCCCTCCCCTGTAATAGGGTTGCTATGGCAAAACTGTTATTCCAGCAAAGGAAAGAATGCATTGGTGAAGTGTTGATCCCCTTTCAGCTTTGTGTAAGCCTCTGATTACTCAAATTATCAAGTTTGCACTGAGAGCGTGGTTCACAGTGCAGAGCCAGTGGATGCAGGCAGCTCGAGTGGGCCTGCTGTCATCATTTCCACAGCAGACGCAGAAGATGAAAGAGCCCAGCTGCTGAAATTATCTCACTCTGGGTCCTGCAAACCGGCATTCTGTTTTCTGCTGCTCTTGGGGTCCTTTGGCTCAAATGGCCAGCCTCCTTTGTGTAGTGACCTGAAATTTAGTTCCCTTCCATGTGACTAAAGAGTCTTGGTGCCTATGCCAAACAGATTTTCTGCCGCTGGAGATGGGGAAGGGATGAAAGAAATAGCAAAGAATGCTACAGGGGATATTAAAGTATAATTTCCCCATTCATCAGGAAATACAAAGACTGAATGGCTTGGGTTCAATATTTCTTTGTGTTTGCTGAGTTCTAAATTACTGTGCTGATAATGTAAGTTCTACTCTGTGGTTGTAATTGCAAGATGCACTCCTGTGCAAAACTGTTTCTAAATAATACCAATTTCAGATTCTCTTTATGAATGTGAAGAGCCCGGGAGTGAGTTGTTAGGGTATGTAAACAGATCTTTTTATTGTCCTTTTTAAAGTCTTTGAAATCACCAAGAAATAAATTAAAATATAATGAAATTTTAAAAAAATCTGGATTTGATGTAAAGCCAGGACATTGTATTCTTACACTGAGAATATAAAGATTCTGTATATAATTCTGTATATATTCCATTTACAAGGGTTTGAATATAGTGTATAAAATGTGTGGGAATATACATACTTTTTCTGGAAAGTTTATTCTCTAATCTTGAAGCAGGACAATGTAAATTGAGCCCAATGCATTGGGATGGGATGGGAGGAGTGTGATAGCTTTCGGCAAGAACCATACAGAGATATATTGGTTGTTTTTTCATCAATAGACATAGTTGGGTACTGCTGTGTTTCCCTTGAAAATAGTATATTTGCATTTTAGTATAATTTAGTATATAAATTAGTATAATTTAGTATATAAAATAGTATATTTGCATTTTAGGCTGATGTTTATGTTTCTTTACTAGCTCTGCCCTTAGGCTTTCATGATGAATTGACTGTGTAACTGAGTATAGCTTAAATGCTCCTGGGGCAGGAAGGGTTAAACACTGTGCATTGAGGCTCTGTCCTCCAGCCAGGTTGGGGATTCAAGGAAAACCAGAGGCTTGATAGTTCTGAGAATGTAAAAAGCCCTAAGTAACTGCAAATTACTTGGAAGGACAGAGCCATTAACACCTGCTCCCCCAAGGTCAGAAATAGTAGGCCTAAAAAATGTCACCCCATGAGTCATCTGTTTGATCTAACCGGATGAAAGTAGGGAGATAAGGGAGATTGGGGTTCCTCTTTGAGGAGAGGTTCTCTGTTGTTGCCAGAGGTTCTGCCAAAAAACACTGTTATTCTACAAGGAAAAAGACTACATTGGGTATTGGATAGTGTATATTGTTTGAAGAGGAGGAGGAGGCCAACCAGCCTCTGGTTCTTGGAGGAAGCCAAACCATGTGAGTTCAACGAACCTGCTGCTCGCCAACTCCCTGTTCCCTTCCCTACCCATGTTATGTGTGTTGTATGTTGTAGAGTTTTGAGACCCTCCATCCATATATTGTTTGTTCTGTTTTTTAATAAAGCTGGATTTCCTCCAAGCCTGGGTGGTCATGTGCTGAATCCAGTGTCTGGTCCCGGCATCTGGGGCTCCAGGGAAGCAGAGAGAGCAAGTGACCCTGCCAGCTGCTGGGAGGTGGGAACTCAGGAGCAGCTGATCGTTACAGACTGTCTAATGCAGGGGTCGGCAACCTTAAACACTCAAAGAGCCATTTGGACCCGTTTTCCACAGAAAACGGGAGCCACAAAACCCCTTTGACACCTAAAATGAAGATAAAACTGCATATATCGTTTTTTATTTGTATGCTATGTATAAAAAAAGTATAGCGTGTTGCATTTATGAAATCAATGAACTGCTACAGAGAAAACAAATTTTCACTTCTGCATGCAACAAAAACATATTAGGCATACTGGTCAACCAGTCTCGTCAGCAGTGAAAGCAAATGAATCTGCCCACGTACCATTAAACATTCTGTTTTCTTCTGAAACTTTTATTTTCTTGGATTTATCTATGGTTGGCCTACTGGGGGTTGAAAAGCAGCGGGTGTCACACATTGGCAGTCGTGACGCATATTTTGAGTGACAGGGAGTCGCAGCAGAGGGATGAAAGAGCCACATGCGGCTCCGGAGCCACGGGTTGCTGACCCCTGGTCTAACGTGTTGATTATTCTTACAGGGAAATGTGAATGTGGCCAGTGCACTTGCTTCCCTCCTGGAGAGTCCAAGATATATGGCAAAATTTGTGAATGTGATGATCGACAGTGTGAAGACTTAGATGGCACCATCTGCAGTGGTATGTTATTCTTAAATTAAGGGCCACATGAGGCCCGCTTTGGTCATGTATTCAATTTATCTGGAAAGGCTCCTGAAATGCAACGAACAACCTTCTGCAAGCCCATTCTTCAACAGCGTCAATCAGGCATGTTACCTAAAGTGAATAGAAAGCAACACATGACCATTCATTTGTTTGTTTGTTTAAGTCGCCAGCATGGCTGGTGGAATAGGATTGATCCAAGGACTGTCATCTGAATTGGTGGGCAGTCACATGCCCAGCAGTTTTAGGACAACTTCAGGTGTCCGAACTAACAAGGAGATAACACAGAACGTTCTCTCATCATACCTTTCCTGCTCTTCACAGTTCTCTGTAATATCTAAAAGTGGAAATTCTGCTACAAATAAAGACAAAACTCTCAGGATTTGTGTCCTGCCCCACAACAGATGTTTATGCATCTTCCCAGGGAAAGATCTGTAAGTTCTTTTTCTAGACGTTATGGAAAAGTTTAGCCACAGAGAACTAGAGCCCAACACACCAAGGTGCCAGGGCCTTAGTCCAAAGGGATCTTGTATCTGCTGCCTTAGAGGTCTTAAGCCAAAATATCTAAGTGTGAGCTACTGTTATTCAGAGATAGATGATCGGATGCATTTTGCTCCTCAGAATTTCCTGGTTTCAGCATTGGTGCTGAAAATAGCTTGCAAGACCAAGGGGGAGACTTGGTGATTCCTTAAAAGAATCCATGCTTAGACTTTTAATTTTAAAGGGGCATTCTCTAAATAAAGTTATTGTCAGAGCCCAAACATCCACACACACACAAATAATAGGAGGCCCTTACATGAAGAGTTCCACAGAAGCCACCACAGCATCAACCAGGCCCCTTCTGGAATCTGATGTGAGAGTTGCAAGGAGATGAAAAACACATATTAATTAATTAAATTTGTTTAAAGACTGCCCATTGGCATTGTGTTCTCTGGGTGGGCATTACAATAAAATATGTTGTACTGTGATCAGCACAAAGGGAAATTGTGAATTCAGAACACTGAAGGCAGGCTTTCACATCTACTTTGTCAAGGGCATGCTACTTGATCTTCTCTGCCATTTGGACACACTTTGTGACTGCATGTAATTGTAGGAGCTACACCTACTGCTATATCCATGAACGCTGGATGTTGTTCTTTGAGAGCAGCAAAGTCCCCTTGTGATCGGGTCTCAGAACATGCTTCGTAAGTGACAATTCCCAGCCAAATCCTAATTGTTCTGCAACGGAGTCTGTCTAATTCAATTATCACCTCACCTAAGAATCTACACTGCAACAAGAAGGGGTCCTAAAAAGTCAAATGCTTAAAAGAAGTTGGGATTAGGAAGCTTTGGTAAAGCCATAAAACTACAGTCCCTCCTCTTCTTCCCAGTTCCATGTTCTTCTCCTATGAAGAGCTTGGAACATCAACTGCATCTTTCCAAATTCTCAGTCTTCAGGATTCAGGTGAAGACTAATTAATGAAGCCCTGCTTTGGTTTGGACATTCCCCAAATCTCTCTTAATTAACCTGATTCAGTTCTAGATGCCACTGAATTCTGTGCTCACCCTATTTACCCGCTTCAGAAACAAAAACGTGTTTAAGATGCAATCCTATGTGTGCTTAGTCAGAAAAAAGGCACTGCAATTTTCACTGTGCCCCAGTCAGCATGGCTGACTGGAGGATTCTGGGAGTTGCAGGACCATTTTCCTCTCTAAACATGTGTAGAATTGCTCCCTTGCTGGGAAGGAAACTTCTGCTGTCCAGGACAATTGGCTGCATGGAGAGGAATGATATCATGTAGCCAGCAGCTTATTTTAAGGTGCAGGGGCACAGAAGCCTCCATTTCTTCAGGCTGTGTCTGCCACTGTGTCTTGGATAAAGGACTGGGAACTACGAATTGACTGTAGCTTCTTTCTCCTCTTCGAAAGCAGCTGATGCTAGAAGTGGAGCAATTTTGGAGAAATGCAAAATGTTGTTCCAACATTAGATGCCTCCTGAAATGGGAGAGAAAAAAGCGAATGGCAATAGTGGTGATCTGAATAAGAGTGATTTGTAATCTGTTTTCTTTGACCAGGAGGGATTGATTGGAAACTTGCTTTTCCAACCCTGGGCTCAGGTAAATATAAGGCAAGGAATGTGATAGATGAGGGAGAAAGTAGCTGTGATCCTACACGGATAGAGTTCCTTGAAAATGCAGCTGCCCATCATCTAAAGAGGAAAGGAATTCATGTTCTCAGCAAAACCTGTTTCCCAGCTATTCAGCCCCCTGCTCTGAGAAGTGCAATGAATTGAAGCCCTAAGTGCATCGTTCCATTCCAATCACATCCCAAGCACATTCGCCTAAAATAATGACATTGATTGCCATGGAACTTATTTCCAAGTAAATGTGCATAGGATTGCAGGCCTTGTAGGTCCTCCATCACCTTGCTATGTCAAATTTGGTCAGAACAGCCTGCTCATTTCAAATACGAGCTGTTTGAAAAAGAAATTCACGAAGCATCGAAACCCAAGAGAATGGCAATGTTCTTGAAGGAGGACATTTGCTTTGATATGCTTTGAAACAATGTTGACCAACTACATATTATGCTTCATCACCGGAATGGTACTTTCAGTGTTCAGCATGTTGCCTTGGTTTTTTGGTCTTGCCATCTTCACAGCTGCCCTGGGAGGAGTGCTATTGCTCTCATTCTCATTCTACCGCAGGAGCAACTGGCCAGTGCAGTGGGAGGATCAGTTTCCTTGGCAGATCCACCCAGCAAATCCACGAGAGAGGTGGAATTTGAATTCTGTTCTCCAGAACTAGGGATGGTATCACAAATATTGAGCTAAATAAGTTTGTGATTTCTCTATGTGGAACTGGACTTGGTAGCAGAGAAAGTGTAGCAAGGAGAGGGTTGAGAGTAAGGCATCTAAATGAAGTATCCTTTTAAGAAATGGTTGATAACCCTAGTAGCCAAAATGGTCATAAGTAATTAGTAGGTTTCACCTTAAGAGTCTCTCTCTTCTATGTTCAGCACTGGCACATGGAAACATACACCTGAATGTTTATGTGTGTTATTATAATCAAAATGAATTATTATTATTATTATTATTATTATTATTATTATTATTATTATTATTATTCTTTCTGTAGTGGTTATAATAGACTGTGGAGACAAGTGTATTGGAGCCTGTATCCAATCATAAATCAGACATGTAGGCTAGCATGCAGCAGAACAGTACTGATGGTCTGATCCTGTTATAGATCTGTTAATATCTATGGAGATGAGTACAGAAGGAGAACCAGTTTGTCCACAATAAAATGTACAGTGTGTCCTTTTTATTATGTGCTGAACTTTGTATTGCAATTACAATCCAGAAAGAAGAACAATCAATACATGGCCTGGAAACATGTCTTGAATTCACAAGTTGTTTTTAAGATTATTGGGTACACAAATAAGAACATCTGAAAGACATTTAGACAGATAAAAATAGAGATTAACAAAGCTTCCTTTTCCCCTCTTCCTGATTATTAAAGAAGAGTGAAGGACTGATATATACTTCACTTGGCAAGACCTCTACCATCATTCACACCAGTGTTTACAGTACTAAACACTGAAATGTGCAACAAACATTTGCACATACCCTTGAAAGTCCACAACTTCAGGAAGAGGACCACATGATCCCACTCTGCCCCTGATGCCATTTACCAGCTCCTCACAGTTGCCACGGAAGCAACAATTGTGCCTGTTTTTGAAGCCAGAAAAGTGACTTGGAGGACCTCACTGAGGTCAGAAGGGTGGTCTTCTAAAGGTTGGGGAGGGGAAGGTTGGCGCAGATGCAAAATACTCTATGTCCTCTCTTGCACTGGTTCGGTCCTTGCCTGTATTTCTCCACCAGATGGGTGTAAAGGTCTGTCTAAAGGGAACATTTTAAAAGGAGGCTGAAGAAGCAAAAATTGTTTCCACCACTTCTCCTGCCCTGCTTTATTTATTTATTTGATTTATATCCTGCTTTTTTCTTATGACCTCAAAACAGCATACATCCTTCTCCTGTTGCTGCACCCTAACACCCTAATATTATCCTCAAAACAACAACCTGTTGAGGAGCTGTGACTAGCCCCAAGCTACCATGTTGGCTCCATGGCCAGGTGGGGACTAGAACCCAGGTCTCCTCAGCCCCAGTCTCGTGCTCCTAACCACTACACCACACTGGCTCTCTCCCATACTTGGAAGCTTCAACAATTGAAGGTTCCCATCTAGCAGTTGTCCACCTAGCACAGTTACGCCTTAAATCAGTGGCCTAAAGTATGTTATCTTTCAAGTACCCATTTACCCTTGTAGAGAAAATGGGAAGTAACTCAACCAACTGGGCAAACTGGCTCTTAAGACCAGCCCACCACATCTCTCACTATGACTTTTCTTTGGTGTATTTTTCCATTCTGAATTGTACTCAGTGAAAACAGCTTCTTGAGAAATGGGTCCATTGTGTCTCCATTCAATCTGACCCTGGTGGAATGGCATGCAACAAGGGAGTTTGAATTCAAATTGTATGTGAAACTTACCTCCAGTTTCTGTGCTTTGAAATATCAGGGTTCAATCATTGTTAGCTGCTGTCTTACAAGCAAACTGTAACAAAATTCTTTATGATTCAAGATTATAGGGCCTCCTTCATTCTTCATTTCATTCTCCTATATACTTTACTGCTCAAACACATTTTCAGACCCTGTTGTCACTTATTTACAGTGGCAACTTTTGCCCTTTCAGCTACTGAACTTGGTACTAATTTCCAAAGTTCTGCGAATAATAAGTTTTATTGATTATGAAACATTGCTTTTGGTGTGTTTTTATTCTATATTATGTTCTTAACTTTTTCTAATGATGTTCATTGTAGCCAATAACATTCATTTGTTCACTCACTCACTCACTCAGTGTGACTGTTACCCTTGCTCCCCATCTGCTATTCCTCTTCCAGTGTTGAGGGAGGACTTCCTGAATCAGCCTTCCTTGGTTTCACATGCTTTTTCAATGCCTTAAAGGGCTCCATATGTTGCCCAGGCGTGTACATGCCTGCATCCAGTCAGTGCCAGTTTTGCATGAATTCAGTCATAAATCCATTCTAACCACTTCTTGTCCATTGTTCTGGGAGATCTTTTAAGTACAAAAATGCATTTATTTAGATGCACAACTTTCCCAGAAATGCAGTTTAAAATGTACGCGCATATTTTTGTACCCCACATTTCCTAAAGTACGACTTTTGTCCAGAACCTTCTATGCACATGTTTGTACGTAGTTTTAGCCTGGAACTGTTGTGCAAAATTTGGAATGATAACTGTACTTGAACATAGATAGTGCACATTAGTCCAAAAATGCAGATTAGCTTGGTTCATTAAACAAGAATGAGTTATAAGTTCCTGGAATCTCACCAACTTAAAGGTACCTTGCAGTGTTTGCTTAATTTCTTACCTGTGTTATTTTCTTGCATGCAGCTGTTGTTATGACCAACTATTTCCCCTATTAATTAGCCTTGCATCAGGCAGGAATTACTATATAATTCATATTACTATTACTCCAGATGAACAGTATGCAATAAGTACACACACATGTGCTCGCACATAGACTTTGTCAATTTTGCAAGCAGGTGAAAAGAATCCCTACATAGCCCTTGTGCAACCGCTTAATCCTACACTGAAACTAGTGTAGGACATATTGCTATGGAGTTGCAGGCTGGTAAAAGCTCCCTGGAAACAGAGCTGGCTGAACCTGTCAGTTTCTTTTTCTCCTGTAGACATTCGTTTAAAAATCTGAAGTTCTTTCAGTCCAGAATGTGAAGAAATTTGGGAAAATTTGTATCAGAAATTAATTGAAAAGAAATTATGTCCCATGGGTACCAGCCAAACTTGAGAGAAGTATTCCCAGCATGGAGAAGCACATGGTTTGCCTACCTGCTAGGTAGCTGTCAGCAATAAGGAGTCTGCTGTGAACGCAACCCTTCTTCAACACCACTGAAGGACTCACTCTGTGGGGATTCCACCCCAGATGCTCCACAGCAAAACACTCACAGCCGCAAGCCTGGATGGATGGAACTGCTTTCTACCCATTTGGTCTGTTTAAATCTCAAGGTCTTTTCTGACCCAGATATGGAAAACCATGTAGAGCTTTGGTTCAAAGCCAAATCGGAGTGAAATACTCATCCATCTGTTCCTGGGATACGCTGTGCATGGTGGCCCAAGCGGGCAACCATCTCTTTAGGCTAACCACTCTGTCTCAGCCTAACTGGTCCCCAGCCTTCTTGTGGGACATGGGCATTCCTGACAGAACATGGGGAAATAAGCCTGCTCCCTTGTCTTGCTGGTTCTTGTTCTAGGTCATGGGAGCTGTTCCTGTGGCCGATGCATTTGTAAGGATGGGTGGTTTGGAAAAGTATGTCAACACCCAAGGAAGTGCAACCTGACAGAAAATGAGAGCAGAAGTTTGTGTGAATCAGCAGATGGCATATTGTGCTCAGAAAAGGGTAAGTGTGGAGAACTGAGTGGTGTCGCACTATAAGCCTGTTGCAGGAGATGAAACAGCTCAAGTGTGCTTGCTGCTAAACAGCTTTTCCAAATGGCCTTACAAAATACAGAGCTCTGGCCATGAGATTCTGTTGTACTTAGAAGCTTTGCAACCAAGCAGTGCTTACCAAAACAATGTGCTTCCATTTGGAGCGGCACTTGTGGGTGTCTGTCTGTATGGAGCCATTGGGCACTAAGGACTGCATTCTGTTGTTATATTCTACCTGCCCCAAGCAGCAGGTGTGTGCATACTTGCTAAACTTGTCTGAAGAAAATACAGTACTTGACAGGAGTGGGAAGTTCCTTAGTCTCTTTTGCTCACCATTAATATCCACCCAACGTTCCCCAGTGCTCTTATTTCAGGGGCCTTTTGCAATACTTCAGTTGTAATTAGCTGTCACTGACGACTTGTATCTTGTTTGTTCTTTGAACCATCAATGGAGTTTGTACCAAATGTGTGTGTATTCTAGGTTTAGACTGCCCCAGGGATGATGTTTGTCCCTGGAGAATATAAGAATTTTCCAAAATGAAGTAGGGTGATGTTTTGTTTTTATTTAAACAAATGCATTTTATTTTATTTTTTATTTAAAACAATTACCTTCTGCCTCTGCGCAGAATGGGCTACATCTGCAATTGCACATTGCATTGCTCTTGACACACAGAGAGGATGTCCCATGAGGTCCCAAATGAAAGTTTCCATTCATGGGCCAGGATGCAAAGAGCCGTTTTTAGTGCAACCCTAGTTATACCCACTCCAAAGTAAGTCCCACTGAATTCAGTGGGCTTCACTTCCAGGTAAGTGTGTATGAGTTTGCAGTTTTTGGCTCACACACTTGCATTAATCCAGTGAAATGTTTGCCTTCCATCGCTTTCCTATAAAGGACAGCATACAAAAGCTGATAATAATAATAATAATTAAAAAAAACTGGCTCCCCCATCATGACATTTGCTTTTGAAATTCCTGTCAATTTCAAAGGCAATTTTCCTGGTTGTATAGTGGCCTCCTTTAGAGAAATAGAAGTTGAATGCTTTGCTTGGCCTCGTGGACTGGATTTCACAGTATCTAGATCTTGCCACAGTGGAAAATCAGGAGGCCCACATGGCAGGAGGGCAGCTGCAACTGACAGGAAAAGAAAAAGTGGCTGATAGAGGCAGAACAGTTCTGGGTATTGAACAAAATATATGATAGTGGAGAGATCAAGGATATTGTTGTGCTGCTCTCCTGTTTTGATTTACGGGATGGTAATTCACTGAATTCCATATTGGAGATCTCCTTTTCTGCTGTCTGACATTTCTATATCAGCATGTCTCTAGTAGGGCTGGACATAAGAGGGCTATTTGAGAACCTTTCATCAGGATCAAAGGCATCCAAACCCTTTCCTGGATGCTTAGAGAACTGCTGAAGATGGGATCAAAGTGTTTGCCTATTGAGGAAGCACTGCCCGTGTAGGTTTTCTTTGCCTTCAGTGTCTTCATCTGTTTGCTCCTTGCTAGAACCACCCATGTCTCCTCCAGGAAGCACTGTGCACATTTTAAATTAGCTTTGTTTGCTGCCAGTGATGTTGGCACATAGCTCAGTCTTATTGGATGCATAATATGATTGGGTCATCCTGTTCACTAGATGAACTCTGATTGGCTGGGATCATTCTAGGGAGAACAATGCCATGGACGCTGAAGCTACTGGGGGAAAGAAGAGCAGCAAAGATAAATATTTAACTGCTTTGAAATGGGTTGGGAAATGTTTTTGCTTGCAGTAGGCAAACATTCGATACAGCCCCATTATGTACTCAGAGTAATCATTCTGGGGCCATTCATTTCAGAAAGTATGATTTTTGCTGGCCTTTGAAGTTGCTCATCTTTTTAGGTTTTCCTCACCTCCCCACCAACCTTTATATTTCTGATGAGATTTTTTGCAATTCAGCACTTGAGTAGTGATTATCACTTTCTTCTTCTTCTAATTGCCTTTCTTTTATTCCTCACCATGGGGATCCTTGTACTTAATAGGTAACTTCTGCAGCCATGCCAAAAGAGAATGTTGTCTTTTTGTTACTTTTCTTACTGATATGGCAGTCTGGACCTTCAGGTAAAATAAGCCAACTTCTGAAAAAATCTGCTGCCTTTCTCAGAAAATCTGAAAACTTCTTGATCTTTTATGTCCCAAATCAAGGAACAGATAATCCTTGAATAGTGCCAGTTGCAATAATACTTAGAGCTGACCCATTGCAGGGCCGAAGTTGAGAGAAGTTATGTCGGAGAGCACCTTGTTTGCTGTGGCCTCTGCCAATCAACCCCAGATCAACTTGTCCTGCTTACCAGGTTCAAAAAGCTGCCAGAGGCATCACCTGTGCACATGCCCCATGGATCCCCACGTAGCTGTAACTGCAGTGTTACACATGGAGTGGCTTCAGGATTTCTCCCTGTGCCAAAGGGAAATCCAAAGCCATCCATTTTGTCTGGAATGCAAAGACCCAGAGAGGACAAATGGAGTAGATCTTACTACAGCAATCAAGGAAGAGGCTTAGCCAGTGGCTGTTTATTTCAGCTCTGCTGACTAGGAACGAGTGGCCTTTCCTTACCACCACCACCCGCTCAACATTTCCTGCTACCCCATTCATTCCCTAGCATTCACTTCTAGTATATATACTTTTAATTTTTCTAGCAAAATCTTTGTTCCCATAATAACAGGCTTTGCAAACCATTCACTTCCCAAATCCGATTGTTTTTTTTCCTGAAATTATCCTTGCACTGAAATGAGATCATATGGTAATTTGAATGAGATATCACTAAGCACTATTTCATTTGAAGCTTCTGGTGTATAAAAATGTGCACCTTGGTGGTTATACATTATGAGAGTTTGCCCAACAAGCCATGCTGAGACAAGGCATCATCATGAAATACAGGACTACTCAAACTTGGATATGATGCAGCCAAAGTTGCACTCTTTCGGGTCTCAGTGATGTCATTGGGAAAGAATTAATTCTTCTCCAGGGGCAGAAAAGGGATATTTTAAGTGCTTCACATTGGCTGTGCTGTGCACCAGTTTGGTGTGCCATGAGGTTAGACGATGCTATGCACTCAGGTCCTGGAGTTCTGCTCTTCCTTTTGGTTTGACACAAGTAGTGATGCCCAGCAATGAAACTGGATGCTCGAGTGGTTTTATGCATCCGCCTGCACAACTGTGCACCATAAGAAAGCCCAATTTGGCATTTTGCTGTTGTCCCAGGCCACTTTTATCCCTGATTAAATTCTTGGGACTTCAAAGGCTTTGGAGAGTATTTCCATTCTATCCTGTTACTGAAGCCAAAAACTACCCCTACCTTTAAATACCTTGATTTAAAGCTATGGAACAGAGAGAAAACAGCTCTCTTCAAGGTAATTCCTGATTAAATCAAACTGGAGGGAAATCACTGTAGGACCTTATAGAGGACACATCAAATTAAAGCATACCTCTAGAACACCCTTCTCTTCAATAGGCATTTGTCTTCATGATCTCCTTGTAGACTATTGCTTATGAAATGCACGGATTCTGTGTGCCTGAGCTGTTCCCTGCCTGGCTGAAAAGCTCCACTCTCCCTTAAGTGCCAGTAACAATCTTTGTGCTTTCAGGTTCGTGTCATTGTGGAAAGTGCATCTGCTTGCCCCAGGAATGGTATATGACGGGGGAGTTCTGTGAATGCGATGACAGAGACTGCGACAAACATGATGGCCTTATTTGTACAGGTGCAGTAGAGCCCTCATTCATATACTGGCTGCTCCCTCAGAAGCGTAACACTGAAGGAGGCCAGCCAGCCCCGCCTGCTGAAATGGCTGCAACCCTTCACCCAACAGCCTTCAGTCGATCAACGTGTATATGATAGGAGCCAAACCCCTTAAAAGCTTTCCTTGAGAAGCCAGTTATTCTAGATGAACTGGAGATCTTTTCCCTGGCTTTCAAATATGGCCCTCCTCCGCCTGGAATGTGAGCAAAGTCCAGGCAACAGGGTCTCCCGAAGGAAGTGGGCTACTGCAGAGGGCCAGCTCTCAAGCCTGAGGGACAGTCAGCGTCAGCTCTGCTGGTGTCCCAGCCTTCCCCTGGCCCCGCCCCTTCCCCCATATCACGGATCCTGCGGTGGTCTCCTTTTGTGCAGCCTTTTCACCACTGTATAAGGTTGAACGGTCCCTCCTCTGGCTTCATAGCTGGCAGTAACTGTATCAAGCTACAACCTGTGGGCATCATCGTCATCATCTTGGCCCTGCCTCTTTTGCCTTTGGCCCTGTCCAAAACTGGAAGGCGTTCCCCAGAGCTTCTTTGAAATTAAATTTGGCCCTCAATCTGAAAGACTTTCCTACTCCTGATCTCAGTGCATGAGGTCAGGAAGGCTGCCAGGGACAGGGGGAAAGAGCAACGAACCGCCTTAAATCGACCTTCCATTAGACAGGGGTGGGCATATTCAGTTTCCTGGTAGGAAGGAGGCTCACTCTGCTTTCTACCCATATCTCAGCCCCTGTCCAGTACCTGGCATATCTTATTGATGTGCGGATTCCACCTGGCTCTCCCTGAAAACCCACTGGGCTTCTTGGATGTTCAAAAGGAATGCTGTGGTGGCAGAAACACAGCTCTGCCCTACTGGTTCCCACATCCCCAGCTTCTCCAAGCTTTATAAAAACTGCTTGGAAAAAGAGGAGGGTGGAGCAACTGTTAAGCAGAAAAAAGGACAGGGACTTCTAGTAGGCCAGCCCAGTCCTTGTAGAGCAAATGTGATCAGGGAGCCAGCCCCATGACTGGGCAGGGGGAGGCGGCCAGGCCAGATGGCAAATGCTGGTGGGGGGGTGGTATCCGTGGGATGGGGTAGCAGCAGCCTTCTGGCCACTCCTAAACAGGCCTGCTGGCCTCCCTCCCTGGGGTAGAAGAAACACTGTTCCTTTCCCAGCGCTGAATGGCAATTCACGTGACCACACAGCCAGCATCCGCATTTGGAGGGGTTCCGGAGGCAGCCGATGGCATATACAATTCTGTCCTCTAATGCCTGGCTGCTGCTCCTTGCTTCTTTGCCCCAGCGCCTCACTTCGCCAAGGGGCAGGCTGTCCCTGGGGGCTCAGTGGCTCCTGGGAATCTAACCTGACCCATGCAATCCCTTATGGAATGTGTCCTGCACCGAGGCGCCCCTGCTCATGGTTCTGGTATCTTGCTGGGGCCAAGGGCTTTCTAATGCCGTTCTTCTTCCTGTTCTCAAGCATCGTAGTGGAATGCTTGAGTGCTGCTTTCCTTCTGTCCCTGAATGATGTGTGTACTGTCATGTGTGTCTTCATCTGGTGATATTATGGTTGTCAGGGGCCTGAATTAGCTCCAGCTCCAGTCGTGTGATCTGTGGGAGAGAGGCTTGTCCTCGAGAGGGAGCGCCAACCCCACGGCAAGCCTGCTGTGTGAGGGTGGGCAAGAGGGCTGCAGCCAGTTTGCTTCAGGTGCCAGAATCCAGCACTGGAAAGCCCCAAAAGGGGGCCCTCCGGGGGCTCTCCTTGGGCGGACTGGCATCAGATCAAAAACTCCCCTGTGCCTCCAAAGACCCTACACCCCCACCAACCAGTGGGGGAAACTGTGCCAGCCCAGGGGCTGGGAGGGAGTGGGAGAGAAGCCTTTTTTTAAAGTAAGAAAATGGCTTGAACAGCTCCATAAAAAGCTGTTAATGTAGGCCCTACCTTTATGACCATTATTTTATTTAGGCCTTACCTTTATGATCAGAAATGGTGCTGAAGATGACTAATAGCACACAAGGATAGCCCTTTGCCTTCTGCCCTTGCCCATGTGAGCTGCCAGCTCACTGAAAGGCGATCCTTCCACCTCATGTCTTCCCGCTGCCTTCCCCATAGGCTTGCTTCGTAGGGGAATAACGATGCAAGCAAACTCTCCATGTTGAATGAGATTCAGCAACACACATCAGTGCTCCACCATCACAGTGAAAGTGGATCCAGAAGTTGTGTTTGAAAGTGGATCCAGAAGTTGTGTTTGGTAGCACAGATGCAGCTGCATGTAAACTCTGGTGCCTTAATTATAACACTTGTTGCTATTGTTCAATAGACAGGTCCTGCCAACTGTTTAGTGGGTTTTGCATTTGTTTTTAATAACTTCTGATTCAAATGGGAAATGCAGTTCTGTCCAGAGAGAGAAAATATGTGCAGAGAGACATGAAACTGCTTTATGGGGGTTAGTGACTTTCACAGAGACGTGTTTAATGCAGTACATTTCAATTATGGATAATTACCGCCTGTCTTGTTGTTTTTCCAGGAAATGGTATATGCAGCTGTGGAAACTGTGAGTGCTGGGATGGTTGGACTGGAAATGCTTGTGAAATCTGGCTTGGGACAGAATACCCCTAACACTGTCATTGAGACTGAAGACTGACTGGTTGGCTCTTTTGTTTTTGTTTTAATATCGGCTCCTAGAATACATAAATGCAAGACAACTTTTAAAACAGACAAACTAATCCACTATTAGAAATAAGTCTGCGCAGCAGACTATTTTTTAAAAATTAAAATAAAAAGACCTGTGAGTTGCTCTGATTCTACTCTCAGTGGAAATCAGATGAGAATATCCAATGTAAAAATAATTTGGCATACTCACTAAAAAAGGCTACAGTTGGTGTTTGCTGGAAGTTGCACAGACAAGAAGCATTGTATAATGTATTTGGGTTATTGAATTTCAGCTTCATTGTATAATAAGAATTGCATTCGTATGAAAAGAGTCTAGTTGGTTTTTAGGAGTTTGCTAGAAGTATGAACAGTGTGGGGAGGGGATATCTCTGTTGACCTTGGTAGACACATATGCCCACAAAGACCCTCTCCACCCTGTCACTCCCTGGCACCATCACATGCCATTCATTTATTTGCAACTCTAGAGCTGGGTGAAGAAATCTTTCCCTGCATGAAGGTGTTGCATTTTCCTTAGGTTTAGTGCTGAAACAACTTACCTTGTGCTGGGGTCTTTTTTCTTAATGAGAAATTCTCCCCATTGCATTTGCATTGTTTCAGTGCCATTTTCCTCCTCCTCCTCTGCTGTCCTTTGCTCACATTGTCATTCTATCCCTTTGGATTTTGCTGACGTGATTACACCAGGGATGTTCATTAGATTCTGTGGCAATATGGCTAAAAGAGGTCAAGTTCTGTGAAGAGTGGGAAGGAAGAAAATGACACCATGGAGCAGCCGTGGCATCACTACCCCCAAGGGGCACCAAACACCCGTGAAATGATGGCAGTGTTTAGCCAGCTATGTTAGGAAATCTATTTCTTTGCACCCCATCAACTGCTTTTAAGCTGCTTACCAGAAGTATAAGACATTGACTGGTTCAGGTAACATGGAACCCACCTGAAGAGTTCAGCATGGGTCGAGTATAGCTTGCTGTTGAATGGTCGGTTGTTGCTAAAATGTTGATCATCATGTTGTATGAATCTGGCTGAGATAACAAACCATGCTTCAAACTTACAGTTCACAACCCAGTAAAAGATCATGAGTTCATTTCATGGGTTGTTCATGCTTAACAAGCCACGCACGGTTACCATTGCTGAATTCAGGCAATACGAAAACCCACAGTTGAGTAACAACCCTGGTTCAATACAACACTACACTCAACTCATGCTCAATCCTTGAGTGTGGGTTATCGTGCTGAGTGAACCAATGAGTGAATAAACGAATGCTAAAACCTTGCCTCCTTGGCCTGTCCAAACTCTTTTCAGGCCTACAGAGTCGAAGCAACAATAGTAATCCAGCAGTATATCTATGTGCTTTCATTTCACTGATAACCTGCCCCCGAGATGCTATCAAGGTTGCAGAGAAAGTGATGGCGATGCACAAAGAAAATGCCATGGTGTCCTGTGGCAAGCAGATGCACAAAAGTCCTACCACATGGAGGCACATGCTCCAGGGTGCAATTGCAAAGCTACCTTCAGCTGGCCACTCTTGTGCATGAGCACTGCCCCATAGGACAAATTTAACTGAACTCCTGAAAGAAGTCCACCCAGCTTAGCTTCCTGCAGGGTCTATAAGCCCATCAAACTGGGTAATCTACTCCATGGTGTAACAGATGTATGCAGGGAACCCCAACGAGCAACATGCAACTGACACCGGTTTGTGGCTGACCAACAGAGTTTGGTAGGGCCAAGAGTGAAGTGGTCAGAAGAGCAAGAAAGTACGTGGCAAAGCTGAGCGGGAAACTATGTAGCTTCAATTCATATTATCTAAGTATGTGCCTAGCAAAATACAATGATGAAGCTTTGCCATTACATTATGTAACATACTGTTTTCTAGCTCAAATAACAATATAATTTGTACCATTATAATTCATGCTTCTAGTTGTTTTCAGAGTTTTGACTTGGCATAATTCAAAGTAGGTTTCATGAAGTACTCTTGGGATGTTCAACATTCTGCTGCAGTCTCAAGAAAAGATGATGGCACAGCCTTGAAATTGGTCAGGAAGTCACCTAGCTTTAACTTATAAGAAAAATGTGCATGTGTGTGTAAAACTGATTGGTTAACACATCATTATTTTGAGCACACCATGAAGTTGGATGAGTACATAAAACATATTTGCCATGTGAAAGTTTAGGAGATTGTAACTATGTGGGATAGATAGTAATATACAATAATTCACAGTCGACACATGTACATACGGACATACAATCAGGCCTAAGGCTGCTGTTGCATAACTAAGCATATTCATGACTAGTGACTGAGATGGGGAGGCGCATCCTTGCCTGCATCAGAAAGCACGTGCAGCCAGTTGCAGTGGGACCCAAATGAGCACTGGAGTGCAAAGCAGGATGTGCGGCTCTGATGCATCAGCTGTTCCTTCTTGGGTGGGAGTGATCAGTTCCACGCCTTTCAGAGGAGAGAAGGGGCTTGTGAGTGCAGTGCACGTGCATCCGGGGCTCCCCTTTAACGCAGGCATGTATGCAATGGTGGGGCAGCCAGTGCATAGGGAAGGCTGTCCTTGCCATTCCACCCGGCCTTGCTCCACCGAGCAAGGTGGGTTGAACTTGGTAACTGCCGAGTCCCCGTCAAACTCTGTTTCCTACCGGATGTTTTTGTGGAAAGGAGTTGTGCAGATCTGCCAAGCATGATGGTCAAGAAGCTAGGTTTAAAACAAAAAAGACTCCTTTTTTCCATACCCATCACAACTAAAGCACGCTCTAAGAGCTCCAAACTCGTAAAACCTTCCAGTGCACTTGGAGCTCTCATAGGACCACTAGAGTGTGGCAAGCACCATGGTTTCAAGAGGCTAAGTGGAAAGGCGGCATTGCTGCTGATTTCCACCCACTCTTAAAAAAGGATAGCTCTGCTTCCTGCAGCTTGGCAAACTGGCAGTCTCTGTGCTGTCAGGACAAGAATGGATTGCCTGTCAGTGCTTGGCAAGTTTAACTAGGAACTTGAACCAGTGACTTGTGTCCCCGCATAAGCTTCCTACTGCAGAGCACTTGGAACCAAGCCTGGTCACAACCATATTTAGCCCTTAGTAAGCATGGCTCTCTCCAAGGCTTGGTGGATGTGAAAAAGGGATATCACGGGGATGCGATTGCATCACTGCCAAATGACATACATTTATGTGGAAATAGGTTCTGCTTACCATGAGAGAAACCTGAGTGGAACACACGGCCAGTAAATTCATACCTCAGAATCAAGCCAAATGTCGCCCATCAGCCATAGACTGTGGCCTGCATGTGCCTGTCCACAATCTTGTTTTAACAGTCCCAGCCAGGCAACAAAGACAGGAACATTATCTGGGGGGGACTTTAAAGAAGGGTCCAAGGATAGATGCTGGTTGTAGGCCCAGCTGGGTCTTTGGGACCATGGCAACGGCCTAAGGATGCTGTGTGCTGAAACCAGCAGAATTCACCTGTCATACATTGATACACATAATTAAAGCTGCTTAGAACATGACGACTTAAAGTGGAAATTGTTGACTTAGAATACTAAAAATGAATAGCTCAGTTTTAGGAACAAAATGTTTTATTTCAGTCTTAGTGCTAAAATGCTGTTCAGCAGAGAGCTCACATTGAATAATGAAAAAAATGCACAGCTGTCAAGGACCTCCTGCTTTATTTACATAAAATCACCTGTACATGAAGATTTGGCAGCCCTTTAGTTCCTCAGAGAGAGAGAGAGAGAGAGAGAGAGAGAGAGAGAGAGAGAGAGAGAGAGCGCGAGCGCGATATTTTCTTTAAAAAAAAAACCTTAGATTTTGTCTAAAATGGTGGTAAATGCAAATTGTTTGAATGTTTGGGAAAACATTGTATTCAGATATAAAAGCTTGATATATTGGTTTGTTGTAACAACATTTACATCTATGTATCAGCTTTTGGACTCTAGAATATGGAAAGACCAGTCGCAAAAGATATATTCATACTTGCTACAGAAACCTGGTTTCTTTTTGTAGAAAGAAAATGTACCATTTAAATCGTCAAAAGCAACTAAAAAGAAATTGCAGTGGTGTGACACTGCTTTACTGTTATAGGATGCCAGCACTGTCTGGGTATTAGAAGTCCCTCAGCTTCCCACCCCCGAGAAAACACAGTACATTTTTTATGTGTCATGATTTCTTTTATCTCATAAAAGCATAATACGTACCTCTTATCAGAGCCTGCATTCACAGGGAGACGGTAGAACAGTGACCTCTAAATAGCTGTGCAGAATTTATTAACAGGCGCTATATGTATGCATAATCAGGCAGACAGTCCTCAAAGCTGCTCCGTGTCACTTTTAAGTTCCAAATACTGCACTTCTTAAAACATCCTGATACAGTATTATCAGTGGAAGAAAAAAATCGAAACACTGTTGGGCTGGTTTGAGTAAAGACATAAAAATATTTTATAAGCTTGACATAAATGAGTGTTGTTAACAGTGTGCAACTGTAAGAGTTGTCTAAATTTTTGTTGACTTTTTTGTGTGGAAGGATATAGGACACAGGTTCTGCAGCCCAATCTGAACATTATTCGTAGGGCCACGCTTGCTGCTTCCTCATGCTTAGCTCTAAACCACATTGGTTATTTTGGAATAGCAGGGTTGCATGGGAAGGCTTTTGAAAGTGAAAAGTTGCTGCATCCACACACTACCTCTCCCTCAAAAGATACTGAGAATAAAAATCATTCCGGGCAGCTAGCAATGATTGATTGGCCCAGATCTAAACACTTGCCTAGTGTTTGCTGATTCCTGTCTATAAAATGAAGCCTTACTGTGCTTCTAAGGCGTTCCATGAGTGCACCAGGACCATCAGACTGCAGCCGTTGCGTTTATGTAACGTTTGCGATACCACCAATGAAATCAGCTGCCATAGTATGCTTTTTTCAGGATTTAATGTAGTCACTCCAAGGTTTAAAAATACTTATGG